TGGGGTTTCACACTCATCTGTGAGGTTCCCACAGCCTGGATAATGGAATTTGTTTATAAGGAGGATTCACATTTGCATCCGTCAGGCATCCTGGAGTGTTAGCAACTCAGGCCTCACCACTTTATGTTCATCTCTTGGTTTAGGGTCTCCCACACTGGTAGCATTGACTTGAAAATTGAATCCCAGATCTGTGTCACAGAAGACCTGTGGTTTTGAATTATCAGGAAGACCTTCTCTACCATCATGGGCCTTGTTATCTTCCTTTGCTGGTAAGTGGATTTTTTTTTTCTAGTCTTCCTAGCCCTTTGAGGAAGTCACTGCCCAGAGCAAGTGTTTTTAAGCTGGCCAAATTATGTAATCTCTCTGTGCTTCAGCTTCCTCTTATTTCTAATCAGGACTATTTATCCTGCAAATTCACTAGAACATAATAATAACTGTACTTGATAAAGGGTTGCCATTATTTTCCTGTTTTTATTATTACCATCCGAATGATGACATTGGATTATTAACAAGATTAGAGATATGTGATAATTAATAGAAAAAGATAAAACTTAGATTGATTGTGTAAAAGTAATAAAAATTTAAGGATTGTTCATTATTTTGGAAAGTTACTATAATATGCAATCTCTTGGATATGCATATGATTAGGCAAAGAATATGTAAGTCTACTGGTAATGAAATAAAGTACAGTGGTCTATGGGACCTGGAGACCTGGGTTCTAGTCTTACTTCTGTTGACTATAAGACAGCTATACAGTTTCTCTGGGCTGAAGTTTCCAGAATGCAAAAATCAGAGGAGGAATTTTGACAATCGCTGAGCTCCTTCATATCTTTAACATGCTGTGATTTTCTTCTATCTGCTCTATTTTTCTCTATGGCTTATTTATATAGTAACACATTATATTTCATGAATTTTCAGCCTTCTGGTGTTTTGTTATAAGATTATGTGACCACGACACAACCCTCTTGGAAAGAAAATTCATTTCTATTTCATTTTTATTCAAGAGAAGTGAGAAAGGACAAAAGAGGAAGATAAGCCTCTCAGCAAACAACAGGAAAATGATAACCCTACACCCTGTATTTTCGTAGTTTCCTTACGCTTTTAAAAATTATTTTACAGAGACCATTGACTTTATTCTCAGAGAAGTACAAAAGACATGCAGGGAGGTGTTGCTGTCACCCAGATGAGGCTGAAGCACCGTAGGTTTGTGTGACTATTTAATTTAACTGAGTGACTGTGGGTCCCATCTGGAATCTGAATTTCCTCCCTCCCATTGCTGTGATCCACTAAGGAAAACCCCACCAGACAAAAGCTAATCAGGCATATTATAAACAGAAAAAAAAAATGAGTAAGGATAGTTTGCTATCAACAACTTGAAGTTATGTACTAGAAATATTCCTAAGCACCCGCAGGATCATAGGCTGTCAAACCTGGATGGCATCTGTCGCCCACAACCTGCCTTCATCTGGTGAGCCTCCCCAGGCTCTAGGGGATGTGTGATTTTACTCTCTGTTTTCTCTCTTCCAATTCCCATGACATTCCAAGAGGAGCTACTTGCCAGGCGTACTCCCATATTAATTGTAGAGAATTCCCAAAGAAAAATTTAGGGAGAGTAGTGCTATCCAACACTGACAATAAACCATTGAAGGTTTTAGACGAGGCTGAAACATTCGGCTATCGCAATAACAAAGCACTTTCGCATATAAAAATAAAACCAACTGTATCAAAGAATATTTGCTGATCCTAAATCATCGTGTACATTCTGTACTCACTTTCCGGCAGCCTGTTTCGACTTCCACTATTCCTGGAGCTTGAGTTTGTGATTTCATCTTGCAGATGTAGCCAAGGGACTGTTCACAGGCCCGATCCGCCCAGTACCCATCCTTCAGAGGGTATAGAGAAAAACATAAAGGATTACCAGTTTGGGGATGTGGATGCTATGTGCTTGTCATTGGGCCTCAGAGAAGGAAAATGAAGATTCAAGGTTATTAAGAGAAAATGGCATCTACAGAAAGGAAAGGTAAACTGACGTTTTACAAGTAAACAGTACATTTGACTCTGGCTACAAAGATGTACAAAGAGATTGTAGTCCCAGTATGATTTGGTATCTCAGATGTCCAAGCCACTGTTCAGAGTGGTCCAGAGAGAAACTAAAAGTGCTTGTAAGTCCTTAGATGATGGTGCTCACAGTTCTGAGCAGTCAGTTCTGTCTTCAAGGAAACCGACTACATACAAACCATTCAGAAACAACTCCCTTGCCAACACACCACAGCTGAAAACAAACCTGAAACCCGAGGCACCTTTCCTTCCTTCTTCCAGTTTCTACTGATGAATGTTCTCCTGGTTCTAAGTCTCAACATTCCACTTCCTTAGAGATTTCACATTCATATCACCTCTCCTCTCCTTCCCTTAACTGTTAAATGTCTTGAAAAATATTTTCTGTGCTGTCTGACTGTAATTCCTCATCTCTCACTCGGTCTCAACCAACTACAACCTGGTACTCAAGCCTTCGGCCAGAGTAATATTTATAAACTGCAAATTTGGTCTTGCCACTCCTGAGATAATTCACATTTCTTGAACCTCAACGCTAATGTTCCTACTTACCCCTTCTGCCTCTAACCCCACGCTTTCAGCAAACCGTCCTTTCATTTCCTCCCAAGCATGAGATACCCTCTGGTTTCTTCTGCCTACTCTTTGCATAGTTAATATGTACTCTTTTCTTAAACTTTCAATCACAACAAAAACAACCACAGTAATAAAAATAGTAGCCTATATTTATTGACGAATAAATTTGGGCCAGGAACTGTCCACAACATATGTATCAACCCATTTAATACTCATATCCACAGGTGAGCTGGTCATCCCTCTTGTCCCCATTTTGCAAATAAGGGAATAAGTCAGAAAACAAACCTAGCCTCTTAACTACCGTGTTTATTGTCTATGAACAAAAGATAATTTGATGATAGTCTTCAATCGCTAAGGTCATACTTAAATCACGGAAGCAATCGTTTCACATGACACCTCCATGTAACCTGAAAAAATAAATGTAGCTTTCCAAGTAGAGACTTCAGGCTATGGAACCCAGAACAGTTCTAACTATCCTGCATCCACTCAGACCAACCAGGCAAAGGTAGAACCAAAGCTCTCGTGCATATTGTTAGTAGTTATGGGTCATCCTTGAACCAAAAGTTTCTGTGCGTTGCCTTTGTGGTCCCGTTGAAAATTTGACTTTGCTAGACAATTGAGAGAGACTCAAGAAAGTGAATTTGGTGCAACTTTGATCCATGTCAATTTACCAAGAATAAAAGCAATCTAAACAAATATACGTAATGAAAGTGGGACAGAAGGAAAAATCCCCTGTGATTTTCCCAAGCATCAGCAAGTCAAGTGGCCTTACCTTGCCTTTCATCACCACACAGTCCTCCTGCCGGTTGTTCTCGTGGCTTGGTTCCCCACGAAGCCATTTGGTGAATGTCACAGGGGTGCCGTCACTCCACTCAAAGTACATTTGGATCTTGATGTCATTTAAGCCAATCCACAACTCATCGTTTGGCTCTAAACAGGAAACAAAATACAAGAGTAGTATATACAAAGGTTGCTTTCCGAAAGTCAGGAGGGCACCAGGAAAGGATGCTTTATCAGTAGGAGTCTACCCCCTTGAAGTTATCACTATCATAATTTCAAATGTTGATCTGAGTCCATAATGCTATATAGAGACTTAGATGCCAACAATATTTTATGTTGTCACTTTTACATTGTGTAATATATTCTTTACATTGTGAATGTAACTGTATTCTTTAGTTGCACTGTTATAAATTATATCTCCTGAAAGTTGAAAAAATGAAATCGAGGTAGGTCTACTATTACTCCCTATCATGGGAAGCTACTGGTTTTGTTACAAATAATTTACCATGCCAACTGCACTCACGTTGTTAAAAATATAGTAGCTTATTTATACAAATCTATTTGACTACTATAAATCTTACAAATGATTTAAAGCAACAAACATTTAAAATAACTTCTACTTTACTGACTATTGCTGTCAAGAATATTCTAGGTGCTTCTGTAAAAGATAAATCATCATACTAGGAGTGAGAATGATCTATACACTGACAGAAAAATAAAATGAGGAGTAAGGCTGGCTCCTGACATTTGGCACTTATTCGTTAGTCTATAAATATAAGTCAATGTGTAATTGTTTTTACCACAAAATGTTGTGAAATACCAGCAAAACTTAAATAACAAATAAGGTTAAAACCAAAACAACCGATACAGACTTAACACGTGATTGTTTTGTTTTGAGATTCTATTGAGAATATTATTGATTTCAGTGGTAGTTATTCTGAAAAATTCTAAATATCACAACAAAAATGAGACACAACTGAAGTGATTGAAGGTCTAGGATTTCATGGTTGAAAAATAAACATTTCCAAATTTAAAAAAAATCAAAGAGTACACAATTCAATGTCTATTTAGTTTGCAAAACTAGGAATGCCATCCCAAATGCTGGATGTATTATCTTTTAGCGGTAAAATAAAATTATTTGCCAAAGGATTGTAAAGATGGAGTGTTGAAAGGAGGAAAATATCACACTATATAAGAATTTCCCTAAGTGATTTAGTCTCTTCCTCCTAAAAGTTGTCATTCAATTTTGCTTTTGGAGAAGTCCCTGACTGGCCTCGTGCCAGCCCCAGCAGATGTTTCCAGTGCCATGGGTTGAATGGCATTGCCAAGCTGATGTTCTTTTCCTTTCACTTGATTTGGCAAAACATGACTTTTTAAGCAACAAATACAGGCTTCACAGTGACCGCATGTACCCCTCAAGGATTTCAGTTGAAGACCAATGAAATACCAACCTCCTAAGTCCCACAATTATAATAAAGTATGAAGAGTTCCTACACATGTTCTTCTCACTAAACTGTTCTCCACCTATAGCTTTTGCAATTCCTGAGTCCAATCTTGATCCTACAGAAATACAGAATATATGAGTACAAAGTTGTTAAGCTGATTTTGATAAATCAGTTGGGGAAGTCGTAACTAGTTAGTTGGTATAGTCATAACTCACGTGTGCAGGTCCCAACGTACCCACTTGAAATGTATTTCCAATCTTAATATAAAAGATACCATCTCAACTAGCTAAATAAGGTTTTTCTAGGCTTTTGTTTTAAGAGCAATAATTTTAATTTTATCACTTTAATTTTAATAATTATTTTATTGTTTCAAATAAATAAATCCTTATCAATAATTTTTTTAAGTGGAAGGTTTTCTAATTCATTTACTAATTCTCAAGCAGAATATAAAAGCAACTTGGCCTTCCAACTTCCCAAAATAATGATAGCAAGAATAATATCAGTTTCTTCTATTACTACATCACGTGCTAGAAAGTAGACCAAAATTTGCACTTTAGTTCTACAGCACCTTGACTAACCTGTTTTCCGCTGATTCTTTGGCAAACTTGATTAGTTATTATAAGTGTCATGATAAACTTAAGTAACTGTTCTTCAGACATATCAGTTTTGATTCCATTATTATCTTTTAGTCGGAGTTTTGCAGGCCAGGTAGACATAGAATAATCAAGAAATTGTCAATAGGCTGCAGCCGGCTATCGTAATGGCCTATGACCATCAATGAGGTTAACAGAGGAAGATGAGTTCCATTTGGCACAAGTGCCAGGAGTAGTAGAGTTTGGAGGTCTTTCAAATCTTTCTGTGCCAGTCCTCTACTTTGTTCTCATCTATTTGTTGATTGCTTTTCCCCTCCTCCTTCCAACCCCCATCAGTTTCCAGGCACTAAGTGTCAGGAAACTGTCTCCACCATCGCCACCATCCATTTCCTCTTGTTTTGCTGGAGGGAAATGAAGAACAGCTGCAGCTGTTGCTCGGCAGCCTCATCAGTGCAAGATGAAAATGATAATCATTCAATCACAAGCACTGCAGCATGCCCATTAGCATTATGTGGTTTCTCAATCCGCTCTTCTTCAAGACAAGCACTCCCAACTCATTTTACTCATTTTTTTCCTAGTTAGTACATTTTCTATGTATTTTTAAAATTATATGCCTAAAACTGAGACACAAATTTCTTTAAAAGGTTTAAGCCAACACCTAACCACTCCAAAAAAAAAAAAAGTCCCATTTCTGTCACTGTTCAACCCCCTAGCAGCATTAGCTAGATTCCTAAAGAAAAGAAAATCCGCAAGTGAGGCATGGTTCATTGAGAGACCTTCCTTGAGAGATAAAATATGGACCTAAAAAAAGAAAATACAGGCCGGGTGCGGTGGCTCACGCCTGTAATCCTAGCACTCTGGGAGGCCGAGGCGGGCGGATTGTTTGAGCTCAGGGGTTCGAGACCAGCCTGAGTAAGAGCGAGACCCCATCTCTACCAAAAATAGAAAGAAATTAATCGGACAGCTAAAAATATATAGAAAAAATTAGCCGGGCATGGTGGCGCATGCCTGTAGTCCCAGCTACTCGGGAGGCTGAGGCAGGAGGATC